GGGGCCCTTTTCACTGGAAACGAGGCATTCCATCTTAGTCCTCACGGGTAACAACGCATCTGCATTTTGATACATAATCGAGGTTATATATAGATGTCCATGGGCCACAGCAAACACTTATCATTAGGTGGACTGTATGCTCGTTTGTCAACCTATCCCATAAAAAATGAAGGGTAGCTACTATGAGACTGAGCTGAAATGAACCAAAATGGCAGCCAACCTCTTGACTTGACAGTGGTAGGGCCACGCAGCGGCTATTGATGTCGCATGGATGGGCCAGCTTGAGCCGGGCGGTACCACGACCTCACAGAATACAAGCGTGAAGTAGACCTCTGCGTTTCGCTTGGGCTGGAGGCCCAATTCCCCCTACCTCTTAACATCGTAGCGGAATCAAATAAAAACTACCCCAAGAGGGTACCCTCACTCCTCGTGACGGAGAATCCCTCACTGATCATCCACGACCAAGCTACTTTACTTTCCCTGAGAGTGGATGCTTAGGCTGCTCCGCGTATTCTGGGGGAGGAAGGGGGGTAATTCTGCTCGTGGGTAAAGCTGCTAAAGACAAACGTAGCAATAACACCAAGGTGACCTCTATCACGCTATCCGTGAATTTTTGCAACATTAGGACGCTTCATTCCAATTTTAATGCTGTCCACTACCACCCGGAGATGGCAAAGCCGGCCTTGCTCTTTTTAACCGAGACTCAGGTGCCCTCTCCGGCTGATACTCCATGTCTCTCTATCCGGTCTACAATACAATCTAATTGTACCCGGGGTACAAATTAGAACACTCCTTTGTGCCCCGGCTCAAGTTTGTTCTATTTTGCATTTACTAAAATATACTTTTTTCCAATTAAAAAAAATTTATTTTTTTATTCCATAGGAATTTAGTTTTTAGTCCAACTAGTTTTTTTTTAAATATTAAGTTATTTTTACAATAAACAAGTTTTACACATGTTGTATATTTTATCGATGCTTACATGCTCACTGGAAAATACATCAAGAAGACTTTTAAATGATCTACAGACGCCTCCTACGTGCTTCATCTTTTAAGTTATAAAATTGGTTACAGTTTCTTGTTGGTGGTTCTTGTAGGTTTGTAGGTGCGATATCTACCTTTTTTTTACTTCATCTGAGGTTATCTACAATATGTTTCGTTCCAATTATAAATACGATTTTTGTATAATATAATTATTTGTAATAAAATTAACTTAAATCAATACGTTTTTATTACACCCAAGTGATCGAAATGGAATTATTCGATTTCAATCAAAATCGAAATCTTAAAATTTTAGATTTTATTTAATCGACAAATGTTATTTATATTAGTAACGTAATAAAAAATTAGTATTTCATCAAAGTTATGTTACATTTTGACAGATTGTTTTAGAAAAAAAAAATGGAGAAATTTTGTTTCACATGACAATTGACAACCCTCTATAGCACGCAAACACTTGCATCGCCACCATTGCAGTGCATCATCCTTTCTTAACAAAATTCATTCTGCATTTTTTTATGTCCATGGTTTAAACCAATAAAATTGTAATTAACAATAGGATCCAACCAACAGTCTACGTGAGTCTTGTTACACCTGTCGTTACTTCATATACATCGATCGTCATCACTGTTACAGCCTATCAGAAATCCAGTGATGACCATGACTAACAGATTGCCTCATACGAGGATTTCACCATAGTTATCAAGTTTGACAGGCAGGGTGGCAACAAAGTTTTTACTATTTTAGGTAATAATCAGGAAGATGTTTCTGCCCATCTTCTGTTTCAGGCATCAAGCCTTTGCCGTCGTCAGGTCTTAAGACCGAAAAGCTGGATAGACCCGTTGGTCTGGAGCTTAGCCGGATATTTTGGTAAAAAGGCCGGACACCCTTAATTTTTTAGTCTTAGTATAACATGACATTTAAAAAAATAAAACAATGATTTTTATTATTTACCATAAAATATTCTCAAATTCTAATGAAATAACAATAAAATTGAATAAATCAGTCTTCTTTATTATTAATCAATTAATCATTCAATATTCATTAAAATTTTAATTTAAATAATTGCAATATTATGTATATTATTAGTACGTGAAAAAGATAATTTCTTTTTGTATGAAGAATGGGCTCACCACAAATTGTGGCGTAACTTAATAGAATGCACGTCGATTTATAACTTATATCTCTAGATTACACAGGTGATATTAGTTTTACCCATTGACTTATTTATTACTAACGTAGTTTTACCGCATCTAACGGGAATACTGAGAAATTAACAATCAAACGGCAATCTCATTATAACCTCTAACTTATATGTCCGTCTGTCTAGTAGTTTTTACCGATATTCTATGTTATAATATTGCAGTATTAATAATAAAAAGTATAAAAAAGTTGTAAGTTCTTCAAAATATTAAATGCTAGGTGGATTCTCCGGAACAACTAAGAGAATATGTTTTGTAGTTCAAAACAATACTAAAGTAAACAAAAAGTTTGAAGCTGAAGTCGTTTCACTTGTAAACAATCATTTAATTATATTTTAATTTGTTAATCCAACACAGTTTTGAAGGTTATTCGAATCACGAATGTCAATGAGTGAGTTTGGCAGAAAAAAGCGCTAGCAAGCGCTTATAAGCGCTAAAATAGTTTTCGGCCAGGACACGATTGCTACTTTTTTTTTTTTTTTTTTTTTTTTTATAGGATAGGGTGACAAACGAGCACACAGTCCACCTGATGGTAAGTGGTTGCTGCGGCCCATAGACATCTACATCTATCTTCCATTACAAATCAAAATGCAGATGCGTTGTCACCCGTGAGGACTGAGATGGAATGCCTCATTTCCAGTAAAAAGGGTCTCCGGTTCTCTACACTCACCATACGAAATACAGCAGCATTAAGCTACTATTTCACGCTGGTATTCTGTGAGAGCGTGGTCCTTCCCCGGTCGAGCCGACCCATTCGTGCTACAACTATACTACTAATATAATTGCAGCATGGCTCTACCACGTAAAAAGCTTCAGTAGCGCTGACACAATCCGCCATTTTGCTTATTTAATTTGTTTGTTTTGAAGTAGAGTTTATAAGTTGTTTTGTGCAATATTAGTTTTAAGTAATATAATGACATGAATAAACATACACATGTTATTAAAAACTCATGATTGGTAAGTTTTTAATATGAATACTTTACTAACATATTTAAATTAGGTTAGATTCCCCGGTTAAAACTAAGATCGTGCCTGGAGGAAAATAGCTACTTACGATTTGACAGCGCTTACTGCTTACGATCGCCATTTTGCTTACAAGCGCTTGCTAGCGCTTTTTTCTGCGAAACGCACCCAATGTTTCAAGATTACGTAACGGGAGAATGTTGCCAGTATTTTTTATTTCTAATGGTCCAAGATTTGGGTAATTAAGTTATAAAAATATATGTAGTCAGCAATTTTTTTTTAATTAGTTGTTATTATGTTACATCACATTAGAGTCAAGGTAAATATTTAATTTTTTAAGTCGCTGATGTTACTCTTTAAATTGTTGAGTACTTACAAACTATATTACTATCAAAACATATTTATGATTTAAGCCTACCAACGAATATTTTAATAAGAATTGAATTTTTTACGTCTCAAGCCATGCTGCAGTTATACTATTAGTAGTATATTTGTAGCACGAATGGGTCGTATCGACCGGGGAAGGACCACGCTCTCACAGAATACCAGCGTAAAATAATAGCAACTAAGAGAATATGTTTTGTAGTTCCAGAGAAAACAGTTCACGAATAAACAGGTAGGTATTGATTTATTCTTAGGTTTTTATTCTAATAGTTATACTTGATAAAATCTCTAATGACATTGATTCAGTTTTTGTTTCCAATTCCATGATATGCACTCCAGAAAACCTAGTTAATCAAATTAATCAGACCAGAAATTCTTTGATAGTGTTTCACACTAACATACGCAGCGTAACTTGTAATTTTGATGCACTAGCCATACTAATGGAAAGAATTTGTATTCAATGGGACGTCCTTGTACTGACGGAATGCTGGCTAAGCAAATTATTAGTTATACCTGAAATTACTGGGTATACGTCTTATTCTTCTGAGTATAGTAACCAAAATGACTGATATATATAAAATCTGAAATAAAGCATAGTATACATAAACCTTTAATTTCTGATGCGAATGGTCTTATCGTAAATTATGAAAATAAATATGCCATTTTAGCCATCTATCGATCACCTTCACAAAAAAATATCAATAAATTTTGTGATATCCTTGATCTCTGTCTTGCATCTTTAGCTTCTGTAAGATCAGTTATCTTGATTGGAGATATCAATATAAATATCTCTCCGAATAATAATGACCTTAATAGCAGTAAATATTTGGGTTCAATGGCGCTCCACGGATATTTAGCAGCTCATTTAATCCCCACTCGTAACGAAAGTTGTATTGACCATGTAATGTTGAGATCAGATAGATATTCTGCAACATACATATTGGATTCCTTTATTACTGATCATGCTCCGATAGTGTTTCACATAGATTACAAAATTATAAGGTATCCATCTAAAAGCACAACTTTCAAAATTGATTATCCATCAGTATTAAAACTACAATTATTACAAATACAATTATTACAGTTACTACAAAAATTATCTGATACAGATTTTAGCTTTATATAAAATATCAAAGGTGCCAATGAAGCAGCTACCGCTTTAACTAAAACTATTGATGCCATAACTGCTCATTCCAATAAAATAAAAATTCCTCACCGTAAACGTTGTATCAAGCCATGGCTAACTCCAGGATTGCTACGCTGTATAAGACACAGGGACAAATTGCACATGAAAGCAAAGCACGATAAAAACAATGTAATATTACAGATTCTTACACGAGATATCGCAATTTTTGCAACAATTTGTTGAAAAAAATTAAAACCGCATATTAGAAAGCCGAGTTCTGTAAATATGAGTACGTCAATTTTACCAATTTTAGTAAGCACATGTCTTAAATGGTCCATGTATGGTTCAATGGGTAAGTCCGGTTCGAGATACAGGGATATTACTCCCACCTCCTGAGCACCCATTCCAATTTTGACTACCGTGAAATTATTTGTATTAAGAGTAGGATACTGAGTGACGCTGAGGTTATTGTTAAAGACGGCAATGGCCGTCTTAACTACTCCTGTTCTTTGGGTGCATTGATATATTCGAGCACCTCGGTAGCTTTTCATGCTCCCCACGCCCCCCACATACGGTTCTTGGATTAGAGCGATACTCATCCCAATCTTGCTGGCCTCAATCATCAATGCTGGGATTAGTGGTGAAGGAGTTAGTGCATGCAATTGAGGGAGGGCGGGAGGTGCTCTTCAATCCAGGTAAGACACATCATTATATTTGTTTGGCGGAAGGTTGCGAAGAAATTTTTATTTTTTAAGATAAATTGTTGTCAAATTATTAAAAGTTTTTAAGTTTGTATAAGTTATAAAATTATTGAAGATTTGACGAGATTGTAGTAATATCAAATTTAAAAGGACTACAGAGATCCAGTCGCCATTTCTGTCAAAATACTTCTCTATATAGAGTCGTAACGCTACCTTCGTTTGGGTACTAAATCAGTTTTATATACACACAATATTTGTAAGTCTTTGGCTCTCTACTCTACGTAGAGTCAATTACTTGTGATCAGTTAAGAGTACTCCCTGATCCCTATCTAAGGAACCCAAACTAGGTAAACCTAGCCCAAGAGATTTTTAAAATTTCGGTTTTAAAACAATATGGCTGCCAAAATTAGAGTTAAAACGCTATTAGAATTAAAAGTTATAAAAGGTATATGTCTAATAATGTTAAAATTTTCAAAAACTATTTCTAAAATGAGAGTTATATACTAACAAGTTTTGGCTCTACATAGAGTCTGTTTCTAACTATCAGTTGTTATCACTTCTCGAGCCCTATTCAAAGAACCCAAACTCGGCAATCCTAGCCCAAGAGGTTCCGAAGCTATATCGCTTCAAAATTTTGGTTACAAAGCAATATGGCTGCCCAAAATACGGTTAAAACGCCATAACTCCTGAACGACTGGGCCTACAGCTCCGTGCTTGGCTTGTTTTGGTGGGCTCGACCAAGGCTGTAGTATGGTATAGATTTCAGGACACAGAAATTATGGGCTCTGAATTTGCCTGAAACCTATATAGCCTGTTTGAAAACTCCTTACTATATTCTATGGTCAAAATCCCAGTCTTCTACGATTCTTAGTTTAGCAGATATAGGCCTTTAAAGTTTTCCAAGACGGCCGCTGAAGTGAAGTTTGACTGCCAATATCTTTACTTCTAGTTGTCGCAGAAGACCCGCGCTTCGACTATTTTACTATGCTTTTCTTAGTCTTTCCGTTAAAAGCATTTTCAGGACATCAAAAAATATGGGCTTCAAAAAGCCTGAAATTTTGAGGGTGGGCAAAACTCAATCCCCTAATGTCGAATTCAAAAACCGCCGATTTCTACGATAATCGGAGCCAAAGTTATGGTAGTCTGAAGTTTTTCAAAATGGCCGCTGAGCTGTCAAAGTCAATGTTTAGAAGCCCGTAACTTTAAAACCAGAAGTCGTACGGAAACGGGGTTTCGATTTTACAGCTGGGCTGGGCCTAAATTGTGTCCTAAAAGTGGTGGTTAGGAGAAAAATTTCAGGCATCCAATACGCCTGAAAATTTATTATTATTGTAGAGTATGAGCTCCTCAAACCCAAGTTAAAAATCCGAGCCTTCCACGACCAGGATTTTCGAAGATATGAGCAATTGAAAAATGGAATATATTTAATTGATTTCTATTATTTTACTAATATTCATGAAAAAATGCCAAAAATTCATATCGAATGCCGTAAAAATCCCGAAATTTTTTTAAAATTAAGAAGAGTACAAGTTTAATCTTATTCCGGACTAATGTTAAAATATTTTTTACAATTTTCTTAAATAAACTAAAAAATAATGATTTTTAACAAATTTAATTATTTTATTTAATTGTACTAGTAAAATTTAAATTAAAAATCGTTTATATATAAGCACGGTTAGCGCGCAAAAGACAGCAGTTGCAAAATTTTTGCGAACGCTATACACACCAAGAAAATTATACTTAAAGTTTTAATTTTGAAAATGTAATTATTTAAAAAGTATATAATATAAAATTCTACAAACTATTGCGATGCTCTCTCCTTGACTCAAACTTGCTTCTTGTAATTTTTCAGTTTGCTGTCTGCTTCCCTTCTTGATTTTCAGCACCAGGTGGTTTTTGTTTTTTGAAGATAACTTCAAAATGCGTGGTCTAAAATTTTTTCTGTTGCACCCAAAAGCTATAGACCACTAAGGCCTTACTTGGGGCAGTCAAACATTTAGGGGGTACTCATCAAAATCACCAGATACTGGCCTTTAAAGGTTAATTCCTCGAAAACTAACCTCAAAAAAGGTAGTTTTCCGGGTTCTGTGCTTCAGCCGGAAAAGTCCGAGTTGTTTTCTAGATCTAGGTATATAGTCCTCAGGTTGCCCGACCTATCGATACTTCACTTGTCCAAATCGGACCACAATAAACCACTTTTATGAATTTTTTAGTGAGGAGCAAATGGTGGGGTGAGAGGGGGAAAGAAGATAATTCTAGAATGTCGCGTGACTCTCGCAAATCAATGAGAAGCGCCCCCCCCCCCCCCCCCGAGATGCATTGATAGGAGGGCCGAAGCAATATGAGCTGGAACACGGCCCTAGTGCGCTCTCTTCCCTTTGCGCCGCTAGTTGGAATCACACCGCCTGGGACAGTCGCGTCCTAGAGGGCCCACGCGCACCGCTAGTCTTCCACCGCACCACCTGGAGTAGTCGAGCTCCAGAAGTGACCGCCTAGTGAGATATCGTCGCGCACCGCCCTCTTCCATCGCACCACCGGCCAGGACCCCATCCCTGGGGCCCCAGGAGATCCGCCAGAAGTAGCACCACAGCGTCCAAGCCCCATCGAAGTCACATCCCGTAAGTGTTCTTCTTCCTTATGACGCCTGCTTGAATATTTGTGTTTTATTATTTAATCCGCCCAATTTCATTTCTCCTAATGTGATTAAGCAGGATTCCTTCATAAACCTTGGCAAGCAATAGGTTTTTTTGGAAGAGCGAGTGCATTGTGAAGGAACCGCATGCTACAGCCGCCATTTCGTTGAGGCAGAAGAAACCAACCGCGTATACAGTCCATCTAGTATAATATCTCGCGTAGTAGGGTCAAGGCTCGACCGGGGAATTGTGACTCGGCAACCTTAAGGCCCGCCGCTCAACCAGAACTATTTTAATTTTTTTACTGCACAAACGTTCACCATAATTCTTTTTACAATAATTATTTTATTACTTTCAAATTTTTTATTTTCAAAATCACTCTCAATGTATTTTACGGCGATTTATCATACCCTGTAGCTACTCGAACGCTGTTGTGGACAGTTTTTGAACTGTTATTTACTACATTTAGATTATGTTAGTACTCTTATTAGTTTGTGATTTAGATGGATATTTTCAACTATTCTCCTATGGTAGATTGTCCTCCTTACCTCTATACTCCATGGCTTGTGGTCATTCTGGAATTTGCGTTCGAAAGTGCTGCTTTAATTGTTAATCTAATTTTTACTTTGTTCTACCTAATAACATCATAATTTTTTGCTTATGATACCTTTCTATTTAATTAATCAAAAATAATACAAAGTCCGCAATCATATTTTTCTGGAACGCAAGTGTCATAGTCATCCCATAATCCGTCAACCGTCGTGTCCGTCATGAGAACTAGGTCGACAGAATAGGCAATGTCTAATTTTTTGGACTATTCGAGTAGCAGTATTTAGTTAGCATAGAATTACAAATCAATTAAAGTTTGACCAAAATCAGTCTGATTATGAGTTTTACTGCAGAAAGATAGTTAGCGGAAGCTTGGATAACAAGTCAGAGGGACCTAAAGTAAGATTTAATTGTCTTTGTATCTTTTGCCATATTTTGCTTATTTTAACCACTTCTTATGAAAGATAATGGATAAAAATCTTAGATTCTAACTGTTAACTTCGAACACTCAATAACGGGAAGTAAGAACATTTATAAGAGCTAAGAATAATACGTGATAATGCAAACGAATTCAAATTCCAAATATCCATGTTCAGGTGAATGTCACAATCATAATAAATTTTCTAATATATTAAAAATCACTAATTTATCTTTGTGTAAGTTGAATGTCATAAATAAAATTTTAATTAAGTTAAGCAAATAGTATTATGCAAGAACTTTACAACTTTAAGTCTTATTCATATAAAATCTTAAAACAGTCAAATTTGATTAATCATATTCAAGGATCAAGTTGTTTATATATTAACGATTGCATGCCTTTTTTGAACTTTTTAGCAGTAAAGGAAACTGTAATATATTTTTCTAGGTAAAAACAAAGGTTAAAAATAATAAACAGTATAAGAAAAAATATTTTCATGGTATTTCCAAAAATAGGTTTTTCCTTTCAGCTTGCAGTTGTAGGTCATATATAAACAGCTCGTTAAAGTTCAATTTTTGTTTATAAAAGTCAGTTTTATAACAATTACAATGCTTATTAATAATAATCTCTGTTCTCAGATTGACATATGGCAAAGGAAAGCAGTTAAGATGGCTGATAAACATAGTTTGAACTATGATGTGAGGGAGCTTAAGCTGGGTGCAAGCTTCACAAACAATAAAACTTCTCAGTATCATACAATCAAATGTAAGTACTTTCCAGTTAGGTGGGATAATCCACAAATTAATAAAATGATTGTCTAATTTACAATAGTCTGGCAAACATGCACATATGTGTATGTTTTGTCATACATTCATTACTTTATTTAACAAATATTCATTAACTGAAATCGTTATAAATACTTCATTCTCTTTATGTTATATTATCCTCTTAACTGTACCGGCTCAAATGGTTGCTTTGGCGCATACTAACCCTAAATGAGTGATTTATTGCCTATGTGGTGCATGTCATTAAAATGGCAATGTCTTGATAATTTTGAATGGAAACTCTATAAAATAATATGTCATTAGAATTATTGTTAAGTAAGCTAATAGAAATATGTGAATGTGTACATTCACCTTTTTTATATATTCTAAATTCCATGGTAAAAATGCTAAAAGCAATTTTTTTCCAGTTTGGTGAATAAAAAATTGTAAAAAAAAACAATTACTTAATAACTATTTATTTTATTTATAATAAGATAAATAAACTTCACAATTGCGCACAATAATTAATAAAAAAACACAACTCTGCATACATTTTTTTTTACACCACAAGTTCATCAATAATGTGGGCCACGTAAGATGACCCGAAACAGGCACAAAAAAAGGCACATTATGTTTATAAGTAAATTGCAATCTTCTAAAGGGTGTGGACAGATGCGTACTTTTTAATAGCAACATTTAGAAGGTTTTGGACAGCTGATAGGTTATAATTCTTTGTGAAGCTGAAAGATTCAAATATGGTAGATAAAGTTGTTGTTTGTTAGTTTTCTTTTAAGTTGTATTAAATAAAATAAATTAAATAAAATATACCAAAATTCAATCGAAATTGTTAGAGCCTTTTCTATGAAATATACAGTATGAAATAACTGGATGACACTAAACAACCAAATTTTTTTGTGCCATGCATTATTAAATCATAATCCAAGTTTGTAGCTATAAATGTATGTGTTAAACAAAAATAAAAAATTCTGTGAGTTTATTATTATTATTTTAGTTGTGTATTCTGATAAAAGATATAGTCCTTAAAATAATAGGTCTTTACCTGTGAAATTGCCGTTCTGCAGTACTGGCCATTCCTAATTGAAATAATTTTTGTTTGACTAACAATTCTAATTGCAAATTCATATTATTTTAAAAACATGGAATTCTTTTTTCAAAATTAGTCTTTTTTTATAGATTAGTGTTATGTTTTCATTGCATTTGAATCTTTTTCCTCTTTATGTATATGTTAAAAATTAGAGTAATCATGGAATATGAGTACCATTGTGGCAGCAACGTGGCACAAGTGGCATGCAACATCAACAACATTTATGAAGTTTTACATTTATGGAACAAAAACACCTCCAGTTATTGGTTTGCCCGCTTCTGTTCTGGAAATTTTGACCTGAAAAATGAACCCCATGGTCGACCGAAACTGGTTGACAATGAATTTAAGGCGATTGTGAAAGCTGATGATACTCAATCTACAGCTGAATTAGCAGCAGCTTTCGACGTTAGCATCAAAACAATATTGGTTCATTTGCCTCAAATTGGCAAGGTAAAAAAGGGGTTGGTTTTACAATTAAGTCGCCTGAATTTGAGGATTCTGTCACTGTGGGGGGGGGGGTCAAGGGGGTTTATCTGCAGCACTCCCACGCGATTTTTGCTGCCGGAGCAGCATCGAAATATTTTTAATTATTTTTTAAAAATATTTGTAAATTACTAATTAATTAAATATCACGTTTTCGACGTTACATCTGTTAATGTCATATCGATATATAGTGCTGAATCAATCTAGTGAATCGAGATCGAATCTTTTACTGTTTTATTAAGAACTATAAAATTATTTACAATTAATGACAATATACAATTAATGAATGACAGTTTTATTCTCTGTTATCTGTACTTTATTGTATCTTTTGATATTGTAAATATAAACACTTAATGCGAATAAAAAAGATTGATTTTTGAGAAATCGGTCTCATCCAATTTTGATTTGAATCGATTTAAAAATGTGAAAAATTAATCGCTAGGCCGGCCATTTTGTTGACAGCTTTACGTCATGCAGTCATGCCGTTGCTTCCGAATTTTCGAATTTTGGCGAATAGAGGGATATCTGGCAGCAGAAAACTGCTAAATATTGCAAAGATCCTTTCTTACAAATGGTGGCAGCCATAAACTGTGTTTATAAATTAAAGTAGTTATAAAAGTTAATATCTTGGTGTTGTATTGAGTGCAATAGCGAGAGAAGCGAGCCTGGGACGTGGGGCACCCCAACTCTTACTTAGGTTAGAAGGGGATGAAGCCATCCCCTTCGTGGTTATTGTTTTGTAAACCACTCAGAAGTAGGAGCCCCGCTAAGCAGGGCTCCGTAGACCGGGCTTCCCTCGACTGCACCACGTTAAGTGGCGTGGGACTTCCGTCCCCCTACACTCTCTCCCCATAAATCTGGTTAAAATTGTCATAAAAATTATGAAACATAACCTCAAAATGAGATTTTTAAAAATTTATTAAAAAAAAAAACTAAGCACTTCCAGCAGGAAGGGGAAGTAGTGAATGACTCTACAACTCCAACTTATTTCATGAAAAACGGCAATTTCACAGGTAGAGACCTAATAGAAAATTTAGCTTCACAACACAATACAAATTAAAGTTTTAGTAGTACACTTATACTCTAATGTGTATATACAGTATAAGAATTACTTGTGTAAAGTATTAAGATTAGAACTGGTTGATATTTATATGGAGCTAGTAAAAAAAAGCTAAATTTTTCAAACTATTGTTGCGCGCCGCAGTTGATACCTGGTAATGCTCCTAGCGTCATCTAGTGTCGGGGAGCAACTTTTTACCAACAGTGCCATCTAGTATCGAATAAAAGAACTAAGCTTTCTAGAAAGCCCCACACGAACTTTCTGCACCTGGTCGCTCGGGGCCGGTATTTGCTGGAATATTTTGGATGTTTCGGTGGAAAAAGCCTGTTGAAAGCCGCAATCGGGGCAGTATTGAATTGGCGATACAAGCGAAGCTAGCGAAATAAAGTGAACTAAAGTGATCAGTGTGATTAATTATTAATGTGTTTATTGCAATTGAAGTGTCAATTTTGGTAATTCAATCGACAGTTTTTACTGTCACGAACCCTAAGCTCGTAACACTATCCTTAAGAAAATAAATATAGTCACATTGATAACCTCCTTGAAAGTCAATTGAAATTAGAGTCTGTTGTGCGTCATAAAGACTGAAAATTAAATTGCGTATAAAAAGGAATCTCATATTAGTTTATAAGTGTAAAAATTTATCTAACTTGTTTTCGTTTTTGTTGTCTTGTGTCATTCAATATTCCTGTTCCTATGTCCTGCTAAACACACATCCTCAATACATATTTTTTTCAATTGCTCGACCTTCTTATTTCACATATAATTTTCCTTTCTTCTCTTTCAAACACCATCATATTTATGTTACTTGTGTTCACTTTCATTCATTTTCTTTCTTTTAATGCCCTGTTCATTATTGTAACTATGTTTTATTTATATATATCTTCTACACACAATGGTTTCTTGAAATTTTTAAATAGATCTAATAATATTTTTTAAACCTACAAAATTCGATTATTTTGAACCAGTTAACAAGTCCCATAACGAACGCGAAGCACTGACAAAGCCATCATTCTAATTAGGGCTGCATTCAACAGAATCGGCTAAGTGCCACCTACTTGCTATCAACTTTGCTGCTTTATTCTCTAATATGTAGAATTTAACCCTTCAATCCTAATAAAACTCCCATGCAGTCGCATGCGTCCGGCTAATCTCAAGCGGTCGCATGCGACCGCACCTACCCACAGCACTTAAAACCATTAATGCTTATATTTAGAGACTACTTTTCTATGAAGAAGTTTGGCATTATAAAATCTATACAAAATTCTCTATCCTGTGGTCTAAACAAAAGTCAGGTTTTACTTCATTACAAAAAGATTTTATTGTATTTTGATAACAAAAAAATACGTACCAAGCGAATGTCGGCAGCGTGAAAATCACAATTATTTCAATATTTATTACTTGAAATTATTTACGTAAAAAGATAAATTATATTAACACAAAAACAATTTTATAATAAAACACTATACTAAAACACCAATAAAACACTAGAAAAATCCAAAAATCGACACAATAACATTTACACGAAAATGGCGTACGAAATGAACGTGTGAATGAAGTGCAATAAAAAGTCAGTCTATCGATATTTATTTATAATATATAAATAAATATCGATAGACTGACTTTTTATTGCACTAGAGGAAAGAAATTTCAAATTGATTCTATAATGCCAAACTTCTTCATAGAAAAGTAGTCTTTATATATTAGTTTTATGGGTTAAAGTGCTGTGGGTGGGTGCGGTGTCGTGAGACCGCTAGGGATTTGACAGAATGTGACCGCGGTCTCATGAAACCGCTAAGGGATTGAGAGGTTAAATACATAAATTATTATACTTCGAAAACAGCAAATTACCATCCTTGAACATAACATTTTAATTTAATAATTGCATTATAATCTAATATTGCTAGCAATTGACTATTATTTGTTTAGTCTTGCAATCATTCGGTCCTTTTACAAGGGTGGTTAATAAGTTTGCCAAATTGAGGCACAAAAAATATAAAATTATAATATTTTTTTCCTTTGCTGAAAATTTCCGGTACGTATTTTTCAGAATGTTTAATGAACTTGTAACTGAAAAAAATTATTTCTCTTACTCCGCAAAATAGACACAAGTTTTGCTCTTGACCTCATCATCAATTGCAAATTTTTGGAAATAAATAATAATTGTTGTTGAGAGCTAAATCTGGGTTACATACAGCTGCTGCTGTTGCAAAATTTCAAAGCCCATTCTTGGCTGTGGACAGGATCCATTGCATGTGCTTTGTGTATGAAAAGTATGCCTTTTTCTCCCGCAGTGTCTTTCAACCTATCAATTATTTCAGCATTTTGTTCCCTGTTATGAAACTTACTTTTTCTCTATAATCAATCAGAAGGATTCTTTTGAATCTAAGAAATTTTTGACCATGAGCTTTCTAGCCGATATGCACTCCTTGAACTGTTTGTGATATGGTCTCTTTTTTGCTACTGATTTAAGTCTTGCTGAATTGGGCTAATGATAATGAAAACAATAACAATTCAATCGAGAAATTCTTTTTTGTTCACGATACAAAGGTAGTTAATCTGTGCGCACCTTTGACATGCATAGACGATGTTGCGGAAAATTCAAAATTATTATGCCTCATACTCCTGTTTATTTCTAAATTCTATTGTTTTAGAACCATCTGTGTTAATTCTAAATTTTTTTGGGTTTTATCCCTCCGGGTGGTAAATATATTTGGCTTGTAGGATAGGAATTTGGATGTAAATTCTATCGATTATACCTGTATGAAGAACTTTACTTACTCCAAAGATTTAGGGTCTTGAATCTAATACTAACTAAAGTAATTTCTTGTTGTATGTATGTCCTTATGCAGCCTGTGGCAGCCATACATGCCAGTCTCTAGTATCACTGAAGCTTCTTTATAGTGGTGGCTTAATTAGTTTTGGTCCAGCATACCAGAGCCCCTTTTTGAGGATTACGGTTTTGTACACAGTATAATAAGTAGAATGAAAAAGTGAAATCTTTATCTTTATCTTTATCTTGAAATCTTTGTCTTGAAGGTGTTGTGAAAAATTACTAAGGCTTAATGTCACATTGTAGTAGCACTGCCAGGCGTCTAGATAAAGCCGGACACAGTCAGGCCTTTCGGTTGCGTGTGTGGCCAAATCAGATGGTGTGCGGCCTGATGGTGGCTTTTGATATGCATTTTAAATTTGACCATTTTTTAGCTTTTAAAGCAGGTGTCTGCCAACCAAAAGTATTAATTACTTTATGTTACAACTAATTTAATGTTTATTTAGTTCATTTGTGTTTTGTTTAATTTTGTTTTTCATTGCAAATTGCAATAATAGTAAGTAGTTAAATAAAGTAAAGAATAATAATTGAAATGGACTGGTTCATTCAATTTTATTATTTATAAGAATCTAAGATTTTAAGTAAGAAAGAAGTAAAAGAGTTTTGTGTAATTTTGTTTACCATTGCAATAGTAGTTAATTTTAGTAGTTAGTAGTAGTAATTTTAAGTAGTTAATTACTTTAATGAATGATAATTAAAAAAAGAAGTCTGATTAATTAAATTTGTTATATCATTAAAATATGTGACGATTTTATGTTAAATAAACATATTGTTATAATTTGTTTTCCATTGCAAATTATTGAAATTAATACTGCAATGAACATTGAATGATTAATAATAAAGAAGACTAATTTATTCAACGTTATTGTTGTTTCATTAGAAATTAAAAAGATTTTATGGTAAATGATAAAAAACCTTGTTTTACTTTTTTTAATTATCGTGTTATACTAAGACTAAACAGTTAATTGTGTCCGGCCTTTTTACCCAAATGTTCGGCTAAACTGGCTGGTCTGTCAGGCTTTTCAGTTTTAAGACCTGGCAACTCTACATTGGAGGGTATCAATATAATACCTTATTGCTGTTAATTGGATCAAATATTTATTATTATATATATTTATTATCAAATATATTCATAAAACATTGTAGTTCTAATTTGTATTTTACTATAGTGTGCTCTAGCTGCTAAATATTACCACTTAAAGCTGTACTGATGATGATAGCATCAAAATGAAAATAATAAAATATTTAGATTCATTTGTGTTAATGATTTCAGATGATTTCAAACCAGCATCTGTTGATATGAACAAAATGGCTACAGTGGATGTTGGAACGAACAATCAAGTTACTGTGACAGTGCCCCATTTAGGTATCAAATTTTTAATCATAATTGTTATTTTACCTTTTATTCTTCTTGTTCAAGCCTCACAAAGCGATCCAAGGTTCTTTTTCATAGTAGAAAAAAAATTAATCATAAAAATCAGATATTTATGTAATATTATGACGCAACAAAAGAACATAGCCAATATCGTTGTAGCTAAAATGTTTCACTTCTTGGATTGACAAATTACTAATGGGCAGCTCATCATCATAATTACATCCCTTCACCAGTCCACTGGTGAACACAAGCCTCCCCCAAGTAATGCCACAAAGTACGGTCCTGAGCCACCTGCATCCATCGACTTCCTGCATGGCTTACCAGGTCTTTAATCCATCTAGTGGGGGTTCGCCCTACACTACGCCTACTGGTACCAGCCTGCTAATCGAGAACGTTTTTTCCCCCCATCAGTTATCGGTTCTTCGAGCTATATGTCCAACCCATTGCCACTTCATCTTATTAATCCGTTGGGCTATTTCGGTCAATCTGGTTCTACTGCAGATATCCTCATTTCGGAGTTTACCACGCAGAGAAACCCCGAGCATAGCTCTCTCCATAGCTCGTTGAGTGACCTTGAGCGTCCTCATACGGCCAGCAGTGAAGGTCACGACTTAGGCTTCATTAAAAACAGAAAAATCTGCAAGCAGATCTTTAATAGCAGAAACATCATAGAGAAGTGCTACATATTTGACACAACTTTCTGTTTTTGTGGACTACTGCAGAGCCTTTGAATATGTCAACTGAAAAAACCTTCAGAATTATTTAAGAGTTTGATATATCCGACCTTCTAATTAGTCACCTAAAATAAAATAATGATTTTTTATATTTACGCGAACACTAAACATTTAAACAAAACTGTTTATATATATATATTATATATATATATATATATATATATATATATATATATATACACACGGTTACGGGGGGACTTAGGTGTTAGACATCTCAATGTCACCACGGCTACCTCCATATTAAAATTACGAATTTTTGTTCTAATCTACACAGTACCTTGTGGACAAAGATGTTTAATAGTAGGGGAAAGTCGGGAAAAGTGGCCACCCTAAGGCTTGAATGACTGCCTATTAGATAAATATCTAAAATTTTTACGTTACTTTGTTAATGTATTCTCTCAAACTAATGTAGTTTTGACATCACATTCTTATTTTGACTTATAACAACACATTTTATAGTATTTTTAAGTTTAAAGTCGAAATGGGAAATTGACCACTTTACCTACCCAAGTTGGGTAAAATGGTACATGAACCAACAAAGCGAGTAAAGTGACCTAGTCTCAATAAAATGCAATTATTCTTAGATTATTTTAAGTTTTATTTAAATTTGACTCAGGAAATAATCAAATGCGAAGGGACTAAAACTTTATTCATTATTTTTCATTGTTCATTTATCACATACAAATTTTTGTAAGAACAAAATTCCAATTTCTTCATTTCTTATAGCTTTTTCCATCGCAATCGGGTCCCATGTCTGCTGCTGAGACGTACGTTTTTTATGTATTTGGCTTATCTAAAATAATACAAACCATTATTTATTTATTACAAGAAAAATTAGCACTAAAGTGGCCTACTAGGTCACTTTACCCGAAACGGCACGCGGCGGAAAAAAACGACTCAAATATCAAATGAGGTTATATTGTCCCTCTTTGCCATGAAATAAACAGTTCATTAGAGGAATAAACCGATAAAACATTACATTGTTTTGTATTTATATTGAACGCAGTAAATTATTAAAATGTTTAAACCACTTACTTTACATCAGAGACCACAAAAACCACCTTTTTTGTCATAAAATTTGTCCGCGTAAACTTATCGCGTCGGTGTTTACTGGAGCAACATGGCGTCGGCCAAAGCATATTCGCTCTTTAAAGTCCACTTTACCCCTCGCCACTTTAATGAACCTTCCCCATAGGAGGAGGAGGTAAATAGTCAAAAAGTGCAATATTCTTAGTTTTCCTTTTAACTGCATTGTTTTAATGTTAATTTATCAAATTACAGATGGTGCTGGAGTCCCTCAGACAGTATTTAAAGGTAGTCAACGGCCCTATACAAAGGAATGTGTGCTCATTATAGACAGGGTCACAGGGGAGATTACGTTGGAGAAGCTCTCTAGCAATATTCAAGTTAAGAAGACTAGGTAGGCTTTTATTTTTAAGTATATACAAATATTTATTTGAAAGTGAACCACTTAATTCAAAAATTACTCAGCTATTTTGAAATTTGAGAGGTTCAAATATATATGTGTAGATTTTAGTTAGTTCCCAGGGCTGATTATGTATCTGTAGTATCTTCTTTGTTTGACCTTTTAGCCTTTTGCCCATTTAACATTATTTTATCATACAAAAGAATATTAAAAATTAAAAATTTTGCCTATCTTTAAAAAAAAAAAAAAATATATATATATATATATATATATATATATATATATATATATATATATATATATATATATATATAAGACATATAGTAATAGTCACCTCTTACGAAATCCACAGAACGAATTTGTGTATTAGATTTTGTTGTGACAAAATATGACTTGATATGGTTTATTAATAGAATCAGCCATTACTTTGCGGAAATTCATTATATAAAAGATATGAAAATTAACAGTAGTATGTCTTACCTGGTTTGAAGAGCACTTCTTTCCCTCTTACAATTGTGTGCACTATCACTGCCACCACCAAACCCAACACCACTAAACTAGAGAAGACATACCACCTGCGATAATACCACTGTTTAAAGAGCTAACAGTTGGAAACGCCGTTAATGTCAGGCGATGCCGCCGCCCGCGTAGGTATTTACTATCTATTCGCAAATATGCTAGGGGTTGTCATGAAATTGGGAATTAAATAATTTTGGGTATTATAATACTCGTGATTATTTATTAACATTACGTACACACCTAAAAGTAAAAAATATTTATTGCCGATGATAACTTTTTATTACTACAAGAAAAATACATTTACAAGTGTTGTACTGCGAAATATTTTCGTGACACTTTCTTTTTATAGATGTTTTCAGTTTTCGATTGTTAAATAAAATTAAAAAAATTAAAGAACAAGATAAAATATTAATAAGAAACTAGATTTTTTAACGGTTTAAAGACTATTAACGGTTTAAAGACTATTAACGGTTTAAAGACTATTAACGGTTTAAAGACTTAGAAAAGCTTTAAAAAAATTGTTTGCTATTTAGTATGATTATTTATTTTAGAAGAGGAGGCAAATCACCGTTGTTCATGAACTCATTTGCATCACCAGGGGTATTGCAGGTTCTTTTAAATTGTTCGAATTAGTTTTTCGAAAAAAAAAAACCTTAAAGAAAGGAGTAGGCTCTTGTCGAGCGTTTTTAGTTTTTTAGTCTTGATATTTTATTTTCAGACAAGAAACGACACAGAAACCCCGACCTCTTACGCCGGTCACCACAGAATTTACAAATACAACGCAGCGGTCCACGTCCCGTACTCGAGTGGCCACTAACCGTCGCACGAATAATAATGCTAGTAAGTAAACATATTGTATAGAATTTGTTGCTGCAATGGACAACCCGCCAAGTGCCAATGTTTGATAAAAAGTAAAGTAAAGTTACAGCCTATATACGTCCCACTGCTGGGCTCAGGCCTCCCCTCATTTCTGAGAGGGTTTAGGGCAAGGAAGTGTCCGCCGCGCTGCCTAAATGCGTGTTGACGAACTTCACATGTCTTCGAAATATTTTTTTTTCTTATTCCTCAGACATGCAGGTTTCCTCACGATGTTTTCCTTCACCGCCAAGCACGTGGTAAATCAGCACTTAAAATTGCAATTAACAATTTCATTGGTGCCGGCGGGGATCGAACCCGGGTTACTCGCGTTCTGTTATATTTACAGCGAGCGTTAACCACTGAGCTACCACGGCTCTACAATGTTTGATAGCATGACATTTACTGCATCTTTTACATCGGTAAGGGTGGCAAGCACCCAATTATAAGTGAATACTGTAACTGATATATAGGATGGATAAACGTGTCTTTTAGTGAAATTAAGAAAATGTAGATGCGTTGTCCCCTTCATCCTCGTGTGATCGTCGGTTCTCATCTGTCACCATAGAAAACACAACAGTATGGTCTCGTAACACTATGGTCTGGGCGAACTGAACCTATGTGTTGTGTTAAAGATATAATAGCTGCAGCACAGCTTTACCACAAATACAATTTCTTCCAACTGTGAAATTAAATGACTTTACAGGTGATTTTTTTAATAGTATAAGGCTGACAAACAAGCATGATGATGGTAAATGGATGCTGTGGCCTATAGACATCTACCTTTTATCCTTGATAAAGAATCAAAACGCAGATGCGTTGTCACCCCTGAGGATTAAGATGGAATGCCTCATTTCGAGTATAAAGGGTCTTCTCCAGATCTCCACACTCACCATACGAAAAACAGCAGTATTAAATAGCTATTTTACGTTGGTATTCTGTGAGAGCGTGGTGCTTCCCCGGTCGAGCCGATCCATTCGTGCTCAAACATAATAAAGCTGCAGTTTAGCTCTACCACGTATGAATATTAATTGTGAAGGACCAAAAGCATGGTAAAGCATAACACACCTCGTTTAGACTGGATCTGGAGAGGGACATGTCTAAATTTTCATATCTTTTGTAACGGTTTTTGAACAATAAGAAAAAAAAAAACTAAAACATAGTCATCATTCATCTTTTGTAACGGTTTTTGAACAATAAGAAAAAAAATCTTTAAAACATAGTGTTATTTTCTTACGTCTAAAAAATCATACTTGTTTAATCATTTTGTCTAAGATTGAGTAAGTCTTAAGATCTTTAAAATTATAAAATTTATTATATATTTCGAGTTATAAAATTATTGTAAAAAAAAGTATGCTTTAAAATGGTCGTTATATTAAAGATGTGATAATTAATTGACTACGTACATAAAAATACGTAACAACGTCAAAAAGCCCAACACTACTACACTAGAAAAAAACTCACCGCCAATGTCGTGTAATAATTCACCAACACGATTTTCGCCTCTAAACAAGGTATGATCAGAAGAAATAGATTCTGCGATGGATAACCGCTAATTTAAAGTAAAGTAAAGTTACAGCCTATATACGTCCAACTGCTGGGCACAGGCCTCCCTCATTTCTGAGGCAGTTTTAGGGCAAGGAAGTGTCTGCCGCGCTGTCCCGATGCGTGTTGGCCAACTTCGCATGTCTTCGAAATATTTTTTTTTCTTATTCCTCAGACATGCAGGTTTCCTCACGATGTTTTCCTGCACCGCCGAGCACGTGGTAAATCAGCACTTAAAATTGCAATTAACAATTTCATTGGCGCCGGCGGGGATCGAACCCGGTTTGCTCGCGTATTGTGAAATTTACAGCGAGCGCTAACCATCTGAGCTACCACGGCTCTAACTGCTGATTTGACTTACAGTTAATTGAGGATATCTGTTAGGTAAATTGTTTTATTTTATTTCCAGATACAGCCAGCGTTGTCCAGCCAAGTACTCAATCTCGGTTCAGCAATAGTGGGGTTCAGAAACCCGTGCAGAATATGGTGAGGTCCCCACCGCGTGTCAAGACATCGCCTCCACAGGCTCCGTAAGTGAAATGTGTACACCAAAATACACCAAATGAAAATATAATAATTTGCTTCATATTGAATTTCGGTCACAGCGACTATAGTCAACCAAATCTAAGAAATACATTTTGACAGCTGTCAGACTTTTGCACCAGGCATGCCAACCAAGAAATGGGAACGTATAATATTCGATTCTTAAAAAAACGATATCGATTGTTTAGAGTTGGTAATCGTTTACAGTTTGGTTTGAATAATACCAGAATAAATTAAATACAGATAATTTAAAACACAAGATTTATCAGTTTCTACGTATTTGTTGTTAGGTACCGCTTATTTATAGAGGCACAGTTATAAAAATTTAAGATTATAACTAAATTAAAAATAAAGTTATTCAATCACTATCAGTATAATTAGTTGGTGCTATCGTTGTTTGATTTTCAATAATGCAGTCAAAATTAATGTCTCTTTCAAAGTCATCCATAATAATTTTTTTGTTTTTTCTACCACTTTTGCCCAATTATCCTTTGTGAAATGGGCACATGATTCAACGAATATTGAAGAAACAGTCCAAAAAGTTAAATCAGAGTCACATTATAAGAAGACAAACACAAAATCACAAAATTACGCACAGTAAGCTCCCGAAATGGCGGGATATTGAAATTACGTAGTGGTTTTTGTATCGCGGCCTTGCATTTGTTTTTTTGCCTACACAAATTTACGTTGACAAATTTAAAAATAAAACTTGTTTTATTCATGATTCATGTAATTTAAGGAATTTTGAAAATAAAAATTCAATTAAACAAATAATACATTAAAGAAATTAATGATTCGATTATTAGAATATTTTTACCGACTATTTGAATATTTTTCCGATTATTCGCACAACAATGAATTTTAATCATCCAAACACTACGGTAATATACATAGCGACATGTCATTGAAACGTCAAGTAAAAAAAGTTAATACTACTTATTTATTTTTTAATATTTTGCTTTGTTCGAAAGATTCAAATTTAAATTAGTGATAAAAAACTATACACGTTGTAATGAAATATAGATAACTTTATAATTCTTCTGATTTACGTAAATGGTTATTTTAAATCGTGTGAGTACGCTTGTGCAAAGTTATTGCGGAATGATTAATGTGAAACGTCAAAAGGTATTTCTTAGATTTGGTTGACTATAGTCTCAATGAAGACTAGCCATCTGTGCAAGACAGGAATTCAGTGCACTAGTGTGTGCTTATACAATATGTGCACTCTCTATTACCTGACTCTGAAATGAAAATATTATTGTAAATTTATGCGTTTCAACCATCCCTAGTGGCCATTTATTGACAAATATATCACATTTTTAATACAGTTTTGTAGCAAACTCAAGCTTGTTCTATAGAGGCGGGTGATTACGAACACCACTGCGATTTGATACTGTGGTGTTGCTTTGACAGTACGAGTATATAGTTATAAATTTAAGTCTACACTATTTACAAATTGTCTTATAATATATGGTAAATGTATTATAACACAATTTGTAAAATAAATAAAGTAAATGTTTTGCATGCTCATTATTAGTGAGTATGTTTTCTAGTTCAGCCTAAAGTTAATACAAATTGATATCAAAATAAGGATGCTTAAATAAATAGTAGAAATATACATCGTTTGTTGACTGCCTCGTTGGTCTAGTGGTTGTAGTAGTGCGACTGCTGATCTTGAGGTCCTGGGTTCGAATCCTGGGTCGGGCCCAAAGATCAATTGTTGAGTTTTTCCGTCGAGAAATTCTCAGTAGCTGCCCGGAGTCAGGAAGTTTGCAGCACGTAAGCACGTAAAGCCGTTGATCCTGCGCCCGATCTTCTCTCCGGTCGTGTCGGTTTACCGTCCCATCGGATTATGAGAGTGAGAGAATAGAGAGTGCACCTGTGCATGCGCGTACACTTCGACACTATAACCCTGTCCTGCGCTGATGGCTAGCCTCCGTTGAGGCAGGCCGCCATGACCGAAATTCGGTCTGGAAGACATTATATATTGTATCTAAATATGTGTTTCTCACTTACACTATATATAGTGTATGTTATAGTTTGATAAGTTAGCGTATGCTAGACGCGATAGATTGAGCTTTTTTAACCGTCTTGAAAAGATATCGACGACAATATAGCAGTGGTTAATATACATATTATGTACCAAAATTGGTTTTTAGTTGTTTAAAGTTGGCTTTTAAATTTTATTAAAAGTATAATTTTTGACGTTTATTTATGCACAGCACGGCCGTTGGCCACATTATTGCAATGTAACTATGTTAATATATATGTATGAATATATTAGATTTTAACGCGACATGTTCGACGCATATTAATCTAATGTGATTGTGGAATTGGGTATTAGAAACTAGTTAATTGCGGAGAATCCTCAACAGAATTCTCCCTACAATGGGAGAGGCTGATGTTTAGCAGTGGACTTCCGTGATGCAGCGGGTTGGTGATGAATTTATAAATGAAAAGTTATTTATCCGCTCGATTGACCTTGGGTACTCCCAGTACCCAAGCGAATTTATTCGTCGATTGGCTTTGGGTATTCCCAGTACCAAAGCACTGAATTCTTAATAGAAACGTGTTTCTCTTTCTGTCGTAAACTTTTTATTATTCAAATATATTTTTGTTTCACTCACACTAAACGCTTCCGCCCATTAAACTGCCAAAAATGTACACCACCAAACAAAAAATTTAGAGAAAACGTGTTTATGTGCACCGTATCCGTAGAAAGAGAACATTGTTTGATGTTTAGAGGGTAAAATAAAAATGTTTTTGTTTTGAATGAAGTCGTAGACAGAGAAAGCTATAGACAAATTGCCGCCTTCTTTCGCATTAGCACGAAAGAAATAGATTTATGCATACGTCTTGCATAGAAATGAGACAGCGGTGTGATTGTTTGTCCCTTTCTCCGTGTAGGTTTTTTTGTTTAGCAAACTACACTTTGCTAAACAAGTTTGACAGTTCGTAGCGATCTAAGGAATTTACATGTTGGTTTAAGTGAGAAAAAAAGTGTTTTGTGAGCTTAAGATTGGTGAATCTTGTTCAGTTCAGTTCTTAGAACAATTAAATTTTTTATCTAAATATGTTTAAAAGTCATAAAGATTATTGTATAACCTAAAACTACGTTATCGTCCTTTCTCACTCGAGGCCACGCTAATCATTAGTCTATAGGTTTCTTTGTCTACGAATGAAGTGCTTTTTTATTTTTTACATGTAGTTGTGGGTATGGCCTGTATTTCAAAATAAACAAAGATATGGTTGTCGCTTTAGTTTACGAAATATGTTTTTTTTAAAGTTCTAAAATGCCATAGGCCGTGTTTAACATTTATTTTAAAATAACTACATCATTAAAATTTATCAAACTATTAACAAATACAAAGCAACACTCAACAGCTAAACAAAAAAAAAAAAAAAACACTTGAATATTATATTACAAAAACTGTAACCGTAACATGTGTTTATATGAATCCGAGACTCCACTGCATCAAGAGTTTGCTTAACGCTAAAATGGGCGGTCAATCTACCATTATTTCGTCCGCGGCGCCGGACAATTTAACGGATAATAGCATCATCACTACCCCATTAAACAGATGGTCGGCCGGTGGGAACAGCACGCTCGCGTCGCTTCCTATGATAGGGCTAGACGACGCGCCCGCGCCGCGCAGCCCCGGCCCGACCGCGACTCGTGGCACGCACGCGCCGCACGTGCCACACGTGCCACACGCGCCGCACGCGCCACACGTGCCACACGTGCCACTCGCCGGGCACGGCAGCCATAGTAACCTCGCAGCCGCGCCTCTTGCGCACGCCCCGCTCCCCGCCGCCGCGCCTCCGCCCGCTCCGGTTAGTACAGATATTTATTCACTATTATAGCCTTAAATTTTCACTGGGTGCGAATTACCCTAGTCCAATCCCCACCGCCACAAAATACGATGTAAATTGCAAGTTTTGCTGTGAAAAGCGATGATTTACTACGAATCAGCACGCTTTTGGAAATGTGCACGCACTGCTATTAAGCAGCAAAGATGTGGTAAGAGAGTGATATCTACCTAAACGGACTCCAAAACAGAAGACTTCTATCACCTAGTATCACATCTATGCTCGATACATTACATATACATAAAAATATATAAACACTCACGCCTGCCACACAGAGGGGTAGGCAGAGACTACAGACTTCCATTTGGCACGATCCTGACACACCTCTCTCGCCTCCTTCACATCCATATACCTACGAATACATGCTCGTCGGTTAGGAGTACTCCTAATTTGTTTTCAATAAATCGCCAATTTGATCGATAAATTTTCGCCTAGGACGTCCCTTTCCGACTCTGCCATTCACTTCTGCAACATAAATTTTCTTTGTCACTCTTTCCTCGTTCATTCTTTTCACATGACCAAACCACCGAAGCATTCCTTTCTTAATACTGGTCACAACATCATCTTGCAAACCACACTCTTCTCTTATTACACAATTTCTCACCCTGTCATTCAGATTCAGCCCTAACATACTCCTTAACGACCGCATTTCTACTGCTTTGATTCTACTCTCGTGCTTCTTCTGCCACACCCAACTTTCACTACCATACGTTAAAGAAGGGACAAACACAGCATTGTGAATTGCCATACGTGCCTTTTTCGACACATTTTGACTCTTCACAATAGAGTGCAAGGGCCCATTTACTCTATTTCCCGCATTCACTCGTCGTTCTATATCCTTATCATATCTCCCATCCCTGCTAAATACGCACCCCAAATCCTCGATGTACCCCTATATTTATCCATGATCTTGGACTTGACACTGATACTTGTTTCTCATTTTTTGATTTTATTTCACAGAGCCATCAGGGGCAGCAAACTTTTAAGTTTGTTTCTACCATTCGTATTCTTAGACGAATCAGATCCCAATATTATCAAATCTCACAGTAGTAAATCACAAAAAATTGCAAGATTCATCAACTCATTTCGATTTATTTTTTGTCGTTTGTATTGACCACATGTACTTGTTTCACTTCTATTTTGACTAATTGACAATAAACCTAACTGGTTCCACGTTAACGTAACATATAAGTACTATTTATATAGTGCCATGATACGTTAAATACAATAACAGTAAACTCTGTGATAACTGGTTTTGTTCTTATGTCAAAATGTAGGTTAATTTTCAAATAAATAACATTATGTGTATAAGATAAAACACGATTTGAAGTCTGACCTTTATGTTTTACGCAGTCGTGTTTTTTAAATTAATGATTTAACCATTAAGCTTGTTTTGATGGCTCTATGCAGATGTACTTGTTTCACTTTTCTATCCACGTAAAAAGTGATATCATACAAATCATGTGCATAAATTAGTAAAACGAAATAAATTTTCTGTAGCTAAACTATTTTTTATTGAATAAGAGTGACACGCAGATAGTCTACCTGATGATGAGCCTATTCTGCAGCCAATAGACATCTACATCTGTCCTTGACTAAGAAGCAAAACGTAGATACGTTGGCACTCATGCGCGCTGTGATGGCATGCCTTGTTACCAGTTTTTAATGGTATCCGGTTCCGGATCTCAGTTTAGGAAATACAGCATTGTGTTGTTGTTTTACACTGATATTCTGTGAGACCGTGGTCCTAACTCATTCGAGTCGACCCATTCGTGCTGCGTCCATAATATAAAGCTGCAGAGTGGCTCTACCACGTACGGTAGAATACTGAATGTATTTGCTTGTTTATTTGTGTATGATATAGTAAATCGCTATATAGAGTTGCTGGTGTAATTTATTGTGTTTAACGAAGCTCCACCCAATATAAGTACTACTTAACTAAATTATAAGTGAAATAAGTACTTACATCAATGCAAATCACAAATTAAGAAGAAGTTTCACCGAACGACGACAATCACAGCCATTGGCTGCGTTTGGCAGAAAAAAGCGCTAGGAAGCGCTTGTAAGCAAAATGGCGAAACTATACAGTTTTCGACCAGGACACGTTTGCTAACTTTAGTAGCGCTGACACAATCCGCCGTTTTGCTTATTTATTTTGTTTGTTTTGAAGTAGAGTTTATAAGTTGTTTTGTGCAATTAGTTTCAAGTAATATAATGACATGAATAAACATATTATACATGTTATTAAAAATTCATGATTGGTAAGTTTTAATATGAATACTTTACAAACATATATTTAAATTAGGTTAGGTTCCCCGGTTAAAGCTTACTTAGTGTCCTAGAGGAAAATAGCTATTTACTATTTGACAGCGCTTACCGCTTACGATCGCCATTTTGCTTACAAGCGTTTCCTAGCGCTTTTTTTCTGCCAAACGCAGCCATTATATAATGTCGATTTATTTATTTGGTCCTATAGGTAGCGTCGCAAGACGACAGTTCGTCGAGTTCGTCGAGCGACAGCGACAGCGACAGCGGAAGCGGAAGCGATAGTGACGATAACGATTCCTCTGCTGCACTACCTACGCTTAACAATGGTAGGTAAAAACCAAAATAATATAAAAATTAAAGATGTCAAAATTATTTAACTAATATCCGCATAAAAATAAAAATGATACGTTAAATGAATGAATATGAAAGATCAATGTTTCATATAGATATAAAACATTGAAGGTTTTATCAATAGACATTAAGCAAATTTAGAAATAAATCGAAATATGCCACCATCACTGAGGACCAATTGATACTTCAAACAGTCTTTCAATAGCACCTAGTTATAAATTGGGTCCTTTTAGCATAACTTCATACAACTGAAACGTTGATTTATGCACTTTTGATAAAAGAAATGCCATTCCTTATTTTTCAGGCTTCCAAATACCAAAATAGGGCTTATTAATGAACAGTTCTTTTATAGAATAAGAATGACAAACGAGCACACAGTCCACCTGATGGTAAGTGGATGCTGTGGCCCATAGACATCTACATTTATCCTCGATTAAGAATCAAAACGCAGATGCGTTGTCACCCCTGAGGACTAAGATGGAAAGCCTCGTTTCCAGTAAAAAAGGTTCTCCGGTTCTCACCATACGAAACACAGCAGCATTAAGCTGCTATTTTCACTGGTATTCTGTGAGACCGTGGTCCTACCCCGGTCGAGCCGACCCATAGAATGCTATAATTACATATTGTATAATAGAACGGGGGAGTGGGCGGAGCCCGTGTAGCCACTAAAATGTCACTAACACGTCAATTCATATGTGTTTTGACGTTACAATCGTTTCCAAATTTTGCATGCAAATTATTTGGAAAAGGCCAAATTGCACACTATTTACAAATAAATATGTATTAAAATCTGTCTGTCAACACAGCGAATCAGGTTTGTAGTAGTGATCATACGACGTTATTGCTTGTATGTGTGCTCCCGGCGACGCCTATCGTCGTACAAAATAAGATTGACAGCCATTCTATTGTGTATTATAGTATTCTAGGAGCCGACCCATTCGTGCTACAACCATAATATAGGTGCAGCGTGGCTCTACCACGTATATAATAAATAATTCAATCTTAAAATAGTTTAAAAAATTTGTATGGGCTATAATTTTCTTTACATACCGAAATCTCCTTGATGTTTGAGTCTCAGTATTTTTCGTATCTTTTCCTCTTTTTTTTCTAGTCGCAGTATTTTCCATTATATGTCTGATAGATGGCGGTTTTACTATCTCGTGTTGTATACCATACGGGATGGTAAAACCACTATCTATCAGATGCCACAAGATCTTCCTATTGATTCCCTCTTAAGTCGCATCTTACGACATCTATGGATCGAACGGCGTTGATAGAATCTGTTTCGCCGCTCAACTCACGCCGTGTTTAATCATGCATTATGATAATTGTTAATTACCAGGTAATGTCAGCAATCCGGCACTGCCCAGCGACGTGCTAAACGACGATCTCTGCCTCTCCGAATCGGGCAGCGATTCCGACTGACCTCACCACAAACTCCTTCCTTTATTCGGTTTCGAAGATATCTTATGAAGTATCTCGTACTTCAAACGCCTTAAACTTGGCAAGCGTCACACCACCATTCGTACATTTTGCCAGCTTCCTTCCTATTCAGGTTTTAAGGAAAGTATACTTAAGTGGCGAAACAAATATCACAATCGCACATTATTTTAAACGATATCACTGTTATATCCATCGTTTTTAGGAAAATATTGTACCGTCGGTGTGACGTCACATGAAACGTGCCTCAATTGAATAGAGATATATTTTTTATTTTATGCCAATATTTGTAAACAATTTAGTCTTAAGGTTATATTGTTTGTTTGATAGTGTTGTCGTAATAACATAATAAAAAACTATATTATACGTGGATTAAACATATATAATGCGAGTATATCATGTACCTACTGCAAAAGTATACTGTAACTTGCCGAATATGCTACAAGATTGTATATATATTAGGCTATTTATTGCTTACCTATTATATACTTAATGAAATATTTCAGATAAAATAATATAATAAGGCGTTGAACGGAATCTGAAAAATTGTGCCTTTGAAATATTGAATCAAATTATATAAACAGTTTACATTAAATTGTACGTGCATATAAAATTCATATCAAATTATTACTATACGTTTTTTAAAACCCATCCTGAAATAAAAAAATGATCTATAAATATATTAAATTTTTTATCTTTAATCCTACTATAAATGTATAAAATTATTTCCTTGTAAAGACTTCATATAAAAAAGTTTCTAATGATTTGTCGCCAATTTTCTCATAAGCTGAATTTTTTTTATCGGAGTTTTGGCGGGAATTTGACAATTGGCGTATTGCTGCTCTTGTGTTAACATTTAAAAATGGTGAAATGGGTTTTCAAATACAAAAGTGGTGCGATTTTGTGTATTAAATGTTCAACTGTTAGTGGAAACGACGTGACAAGTGCTTTGATGAGATAGTGATAAAAATCTAAAGTTTTTACCGCTTACGCGCCTTGTTATGTATTTTCGTTATCTGTCTACCGGTTAAACTGTTGTTATAATCCCCAAAATATTCGCATGGTGACGCTTAGTATATTGAAATAATTTCTTCACAATTTTATGAACAATCAGACTAGGCTGTATGGTTTGCCTTACTTAATTAGAGAATCATAACAATTACGATCATATTTAATAACATATTATTAGGCCTAGTTTTTATGATTATTTATAAAATCGCACGGATGTTTTTTATGTTCGAAGGACAAAGTACTTTCAAATTAATATGTAGTGGTTTATTACAAAAATGTTGCTCAAAACTATATCTCTTACTTTTGTTTAAACAATTGCTAATTTATTTTATATTAATAAGTTCAAGCACCTTGAGGGATTTATATTGTGTTCTTATTTTTAATTTCGGAGATTAGAATAGCAAATCATGAGCTACTTTTTGACCAAATCAAAACAGTGTCTAGTGCTCAGAACTAAATTAAAGTTTGCACTATGGAGTGTAGATGGTAAGGAGTACAGACTCCGTACAAAAGGTGTCCGTAGAAAAGCGCTAAATAAGAGTGGCGCCCCATAGCTACAGTCTAAAGTTTAAAGAACTTTTTGTAATTTTTTTATTGCACAGACTTTCACCATATTTCTTTTTACAATAATTATTTTAATACTTTCAAAATTTTTGTTTTCAAAACCACTCTCAACGTATTTTACGGCGATTTATCATTCCCTGTAGCTACTCGAGCACTGTTGTGGAGAGTTTTTCAACTCTTATTTACTGCTAACGGATGGATACATTTTCAACTATTCTTCTATAGGAGATTGTCCTTACCTCTATACTCCATGGTTCGCACGTTCTGTCTTGGCCGGGCTGGAGTTGACTTTCCGAGACATTTGTGCATGTACAGACGCTATTCGACAGTGATGTGCCACTTTATAATCGCTCCTAAGATTGCTTAGGGAAACAGTTTGTCTATGTCGATTATAGATTAAATTGAAAATTATTATTATAATGAAAATATCTTTATGTATTTCATTAAAACAATAGTATCAAATAAAGAATTACGATAAACGGTTTGAATGTATAGTAAATACACTATATTGGTGGGGACTACAAATTGGTTCAATAACCCTAAAATAATATACTTATTTTTAATTTATTCAATGCACATCATAATAATCATTGTATTTTAAACGACATTTTGCCTTTACATACCAATTGAACATAAAACATATAAAATAAATAGAATCATAATTGATAATAACAATTATAAACAATTATTTGTAACCGCGAAATATGCTTACTTGCGTCTCCAGTTTTAGTTACCGCCACCCTCCCACCACTCTTCTTTTCACCATTTTGTTCCTGAAAACTATATCTGCGAATTCACTTGCTTCTAACTTCAGCCCAGCCAAGATAGAATGCGCGGATCGTATACTGTCTTGAAGTTATGTGACGGAAACCACAGAATATGTTATATTTTAAGTGTAAAACGAAGTGTTTGTTTCAAAACAGATTCTTAACTGATTTTTGCCTTATATACTAGTACTACTACTAGTTTTGTCACATATTTAGTAAAGTGAACAGCACCTGTCGGATTTGTAAAACCAATGGTGTTTTTCTTAAATTGTTTTTTATGTATTTATATTACGTCTTTTTCTTTCTTTGGAGGGAATCCTTGTGAATAAACCCGCCATTATTTTTTTCTTTCTATCTTGATAAGTGTATCTGATAAAATATATATATATATATATATATATATATATATATATATATATATATAAGATAATTTATAATATATTAATGAATGTAATATATTTACGTATTTTCGTGCCAAAAATATTTTTAGTTCGGGTTGTACAAATGTTATTAAATATTTAACTAACGAGATTTTTCTTATGGTTGATAGGTACTATGACGCCTATCATAACTAAATCTTTAAATTTAATCGAACAAGGCCGTATGGCTAGGACCTTCACCTTAAATAGATCACACTGGCACAGAAAAAAAACCGACTAAATTAACCTCGTAAAGCCCAAGGTGTGAACAACTAGATGAGCTAAACGCCCAATGTGCAATACAATGCACAATATCTTGTTATACCGTTGCGGCCCACGCAAACAAAACGATTTTTTTTTGTGATAACCCCAACTAGAATTTTTTGTATAATTTTTCTGGGTATTATATTGTAGTAAAGAATAGAATAAAACTATTTTTGAGTTCTTAGCTCGTTGTTCATTCAAATGTACATTGGGAGTTTATGAGAACTAAAATTATTAATAAAATAAACTTTGTAGAATATACGTAATTCTCTATTATCACAATAACTGTATCGATGTGTCAAAATTTATTTTGAACATATCAATATAACTAAAATTATGAATCTTGGCAACAATGAAACTAACAACAAAACACTTATAACAAATCAACAAAAAAAAATTACTTAACATTAAGATAAAACCAAAATCTTAATGTCCATCCACTAACCATTTTCACGCTGACTCTTCACTGTTATGGAAGTCGCTATAACAGTTTCTTACTTTTGTAAGGCATAAGTTGACACCGCAGGCTCTACATTTGAACTGAGTTCTATTGTAATGGCAGTGACGGCATCTACCCACCTTTTCCGCTAAAAAGGGTAAATGTTTAGCTCCGACCGTACGGAACTTTTTGCTTGGGACAGGAATGAATGCAATGCTCCTCTTTCTTTTCAATGAGGGTCGGTTAGTACTATCCCCGTCAGAAACAGTCAAAAGTGATGGTTCAGCATTTGATTCAATAAAAGTCTCTCCCAATTCCATCTTAAAAGCTCGCAACTGTTGTATTTTCTTTACAGGTACAAGAGATTTTATCTGATCCTTTTTATACTGAAGCCAAGAGTTGTTGATTGCTAAATCAATCATAGATGAAAAGAACCGTTGTGTCCACTTTCTGGTCCTATATCTATACGGACACACTGCCAAAAGGCGGTCTGCAAGATCCACTCCTCCCATTTTCTGATTATACTCTCTCACTACTCGTGGTCGCGGGATGGTCACGTAAACTTTATTTTTTTTACACCACCGTCGACAATTATCAACTTCATCCTTTGCCTCCACAGAAGATAAAAGCAAAACCGGTTTATTATCGTACCATTTTGTGAAGGCTAATTTACCATCATTCCGGACTAAAACTTGACTGCTTCCTCGTCCTTGAGTCATTAATTCTTTGTCATCAATCAGTAACGAGCGTACATCAGCAGGAATCCGATTTTTCATAATAGTTCCCGTCCCTCTAATTCCTTTTATTTCCAGGGCGTCCAATAACTTCTCGGAAGTGAAGTATCTGTCGAAGTAAATTACGTGTCCAGGTACCAAAGGCTCTGTCAGAGTAAGGACAGCCTTTTCACCTAGTCCAAAATGTTCGTAGTTGGCATAGGTAGTTTTTCCTTGATATATATGAAAATCACATACAATACCGTCTGGGTTGGCTAATACAAATGCTTTTAAGCCAACCGGATTAGGCTTACCTGGACAGTACTGCTTGATCGCGCAAGATCCGGTAAATGGGATGATCATCTCATCTAATGAAAGGCACTGATCTTTCTGTTGAGTTTGACATCCAGCCTGAATTCGATTGATTAGGGGACGCATCTTCCATAATTTGTCCTTATCTTTCATTGCGGGGGTAACTTCAGTGTCGAAAACCACTTTCAAAGAATTTCTCAGCAAGAAAAATCGGTTTCTGGACATATTATCAGCAATGAGGGGTACTCTCCATTTAGCCTCCCAATACATCCGTAAATTAGGGTAATTGATAGCCGCCATCAAAAATGATATTCCTAAGTAAATGTAAAGTTCTTTATTTGTTAAGTTCAAACTACGTCCTGTTTTTTCTACTGCAGTTTGATTAGTTTTCGTTACTATGAGATTAATAAGCTGATCATCTATGTATTGTTTCACATAGTCAGTCTTATCAAACCCTACCGTGTCAGTCCACAAATATGCTGGTTGCATCAATTCAGGAAAACGAGGGTGGAAATCTTTAACACTCCAATTACCTGAAGATGTTGTTCCGCGCTCCGAAGGAGAGGAGAGAAGAGGAGAAGCTTGATGGTTTGCTCTGCCTCCACCCCTTACTCGTCCTTTTCCACGCTTTCTTCCACGTCGTCTTCTTTTCTTTTGGGAGTTTTCCTTATCACTTTCAGGTTCGGAGGAAGAATCTCCCGAGTATGATGTTGAAGGTATAGATACACTTACGTGGTGAATTGACCACTCGGGGTCACCTACGTCTACGTCAGATGGAATGAAATCTTCAATTTCTGAAGATTCCAATAACTCCTCGATTTCTTTATCGTCGAGATCTAGAATCAAAAAATTGCAATTGATAACATAAACCCAATACCACAACACACCATAATATGTAACAATACAATAAAACCCAATGTGCAACAAAATGAACATCAGTTTTTGTAAAATAATATAAAATACAAATTGAGTTCTTTGAAACAAAAAAATAATTGTTTCATGAAAATAATATGTTAATTCTCAATTTTATTTTATTTTCATAAAAAAATAGTATCAGATTGTATAAATTAATTAAGATTTATACTCACGTGTATGCAGAATCGGCGGCATGCTTGCAAAAATGATTGAATTTGACAGATTGTCTATGTATTTATCCCAAATGTCATGTGTCAAATTTTGTTCTAGTGAGTTATCAGGTCACCTCGTACACAGAAGTTTACGGTTGGCGCGAAAATTAAAAAGCAAAATGCATACAAGTATAATGTACATTGTATTGTACATTGTGCGTTTAGGAGAAGATTGGTTTTAAAAGTCTGGGCTGTAATTATATACGTTATTTTGTACAATAAATTGTACAGTGGGCCTTACGAGGTTAAACATGTCAAAAATAGTATGACGGCCATCAAGAATATAGACGTATTAATGCATTTCATTAGTCGCTATTAATTATTAAAATTAAACATAAGAATTTTTGTAACGCCTTAAAGTTAACTAAGGTCCAATCCAATTGTTTATCGTTGAATTATTGTCTCTGATCATACATAACCTTTTATTGTTTTAGGAAGAATAAGTTGGATGTTTTGAAATCAATCATGCTTTATCGTTTTTATAATACAAACAATTTTTACTAGCTATCAGTTATTACTGGTCAGCCCAATTCGAAATCTCATGTATTTATTTCTGGCAATACTCACATTATCTGTATTTATGGGTACAATGAAAAATATTTGTGTTAGTTTATTTCCATAAACTTAATGATACTCTTTATTTCGTTTGAATAATTGTTTCCTGCTATTAAGTTTTAAAAGTAAGATATTTTTATTAAACTGTAATTAAAAATTTATACCGTTTTTGTATTTTGCTACAACAGATCCTGTTTCCAGAGCAAAAAGTTAAATACTTATTTTTGGGTTCTTTTGTTAATTCTATCACGGGTGTGATAAGGTCTGTTTGGCTGATGTAGGGTCCGATTCTTATAATGATAGTGTAATACACTTGGAATGCCTTTTAAGCTTCTCAAATCTCAATTCCTTTCCTAAATAACTTACTCTTTATCCTGATCACCTAAAAATTGGAACAATTTTTAAAACTCAGTACTCTCAGATACTCCTTCAATATCGTCACCAGCATTTGTGCACCATGATAGAAACCACTTGGTGCAAGTTTGGTGAGTACAGAGTTCGCACAAGTATTTCAAAGTCAGCATCTCTAATTGCAGTGAATGTAACTAGAATAATTAATACATAGTGCCTGTAACAGTAGCTCCATGGTGAAAAAATTTAATCATACTTTTTTTAGAGTCTACCTTGAACTTGTAATATTCCTAAGTTCATCCAAAGGTAAAATAAATTTAAAAAAATAGTGAAATTCTTCTTGAAAAACGAATTAGAATAAAATAATTTTCACATCATGGCTTCTGAATTTGGGTCTTATTTACTGTGTTCGCATCGACTTTAGAAGCTATTATGCGTAAAAATAACTACTTTCAGGGTGAACAAAATTAGTATGTTCATTAGTATATTGTTCACCTTGAAAGTCAAATATGGGCGGCAGTGGATATAACTACATTTTAATCCTTTTTCCAAATGGAAAAAGGATTAATGTAAAATGTACCCCATCAAAAACATAATTTTGAAATCAGAGCCAAGTTCAATATTATGATATATGCCTTGGTTGTTGACTTCAACGACAAAAGAAGTAAGATCCAAATGGGTGCCAAGTTCAATGGTCAGCCCTGAAATTTATTTATAAAAACATAAAATATCGTTTCTTCTTATAACTTAGGATAATATATTGTAGCGTAAGGTCTGACTTGGCTAGTTCTGATATACGAATTATCATGTTCCATGGCTAGTTTTTACCAGCAAGTAAAATTTTCGGAATAATAAAATAAGAACCGACAAGTAACAGGTTTAGGACTTGCGAAGGCTATAATATAAGTCGTATATGAAAACTAGCCAAGTCAGATCTTAGGCTACAATATATTATCCTAAGTTATTATGAACGCCGCTGCCAGTGCCACCTGCCACTTGCTCGGACCTCGGACACGTTCGCGTTAAGGTTTTATCGTACCGCTCCCACTCCGCTCCTCCGGCGGCGTACCGCGCGCTGTGTACATGTTCCTAATAGAATCAATTAAGTGAAAAATTATAATAAAATGATAAAAATTTATTAGTTTCTGATTTATCCCTTTGTATTCACCTAATTACCTATCTGCATGCGAAATTTGAACTTTCTAGGTCATCTGAACTGGGTTAGAGTTTTGATCTATAGGTAGTGATAAAAATGACGATTTTTAGACGTTAATATGTAAATAACCATTTGAGATGTGTTTACGAAATTTGAAGTACATATATATATCTTGCAAGTCTCAATATATGTGCCAAATTTGAAACGTTTATGTGAAATAGTTTTTGAGTTATGAGGGGGTCAAAAGTGGCTCCAAATAGTTCGTGTAATATATTACACACGGTGCGGCTCGCCGTTCTGCTTGAACTTGGCTTGTCACGCTACCGCGTGTCCTAGATATCTGTTTGCCATAGGTGTCTAATGCTTATTGTATCGCAGAGAGTGCAAACGATCATGTGGCTCACTTGATGGTAATTGATTGCATGATACTCTATGACTGCATGCGGTTCCGGAATTTTGAAAAGAAGTAGGCTTTTTCTTGAAGATATATTATTTTAAATCTTTTAAATAAAATAAAATATAGGATCTTAGTACTATATTTAATGCAACAACACCTGTAATTATCGCCGGAGACCTCAACGCAAAACATCCTGCTTGGGGCTCCGCGATAATCACACCTCCTGGTGAGAAACTCTACAAACACGCTGAAGAGTGGAGATATGAGGTACTGGGTCCAGATGAGCTCACCCACATCCTCTCCAATCCCGCTCATCAATCCGATGTCCTGGACATTGTGTTGTGGCATCAAATGCCGTTCAGAATACGGCTAGAGGTGCTGTATGATTTGGACAAGCAGCACCTCCCCGTGTTGTTCACCATAGACACCGCTGCGGACGCCGTAGTGCCCAGACACCAAAAATGCGGACCAATTGGACTCGCTTCCGCAAAGCGCTAGAAGACCTACCCCTCGGCGCCTCCATTACCACCCAAGAAAATGTGGAGACAGCGGCACTGCTTCTGCACTCCACAATTACCAAAACAATTAGAATACTCCTCACACCCTGTCTCCACAGGGCGCCGAGGGGAAGAGCTGCCACGTAACTTATAGCTGCAGCTTACCAAAAAGCAGAAGCTGAGAAAGCTCTGGGCACGAACACGGTGCCCACAAATTAAATCCAAACTCCGCCACCGCCAAAGGCCACCTGGAGGAGAGGGAAGACGACGTTGTGCTCGCGTTATATGCAGACGACAGTGCGTACTTCACGTCATCTCGTCGGGTAGAACTCGCGGCAAGGAAGCTGCAGAGACTGCTAGACTTGTTGCCTGATTGGCTGGACAGATGGAGGATGGCGGTCAACGTCGGGAAGACCGCCGCCTTCGCGACCAGGCTGAGACGCACCCTACCAACCTTGCGACTCCGTGGGCAGGACGTAGGTTGGAAAGGTACTACCACCTACCTAGGATACCAGATAGATCGCTCGTTGCGAATGACTCCAATGGTCGACCACGTCGTGGTTCAGGCCAGAGTCGCACGAGCAAAACTTTATCCCATACTGGCATCCACACTCCCGTTGAAAACGAAGATATCTTGTAGTGTAGTGCTCCCACGTTAATATACTTTAGTGTTAAGGTAGAATAATGAGGCAGTCTAATTAAAGTTTTAGTACCAACCACACGTCTCCTTCATTGACACCTTTCCTATATTACAATCTATTTACAAGACCTAAGTCCGCTCACGGTTGACCGACGCAGCGTCAGCCTGGTACGCGCTGACATCGACCACACAGCGCAAGAGGCTGCAAGCCCAGCAGAATCTAGCGCTCCGGACGATTGTGGTAGCAGGCCGCTATGCGAGAAATGACCTCATAGCCAGGGACCTCAAAATTGAAACTATACATGAATTTGTGGCCCGTACTGCGAGACGGTTGTTCGACCGCGCAGACAACGGGCCACGCCTTCTCCTTCAAAATTTAGCCCCACTACATGCACGCCCACCTGATGGGCGGCCACTCCCACGTGAAGTCCTATGCTCACCGCCCGGCGAAGGAGCCGCCGGGCACGAGTGAGCATTCCCGACACCTAGCCAGATGGCGTGACGTGCGACACATCATCACCAACGAGCAGCGTGGCAGCACCCAGTACCGGGGGAGCCGTGCCCCCCCCCCCCGCGATGATGCCCGGGTAAAGAGGGTAACCTCGAAACCCGCAGACCTCCTCAAGGAGAAGAAACATTACTACTTCCGGAATTTTGAAAAGAAGTAGGTTTTTTTCTTGAAGATATATTACTGTAATCCTTATTCTTATCAGGCTGGAAAATCGTAGGTAGTAGCTGATTTCACAGAGAAGTAGTGAGAGGAAGAAAACTTATGGTAAATTGCAGTGGTGAAGCGCTAAGCATCTACATGGTGTATTTTTTTTCGTGGTGTACAATGGTTGTATTTTGCTGCTCGAATTAATCTCAATAATTGTTCTAATCAATTTTCGTATTAAATGTTAAAGAAATGCAAAGGTATGCATATAACATAACTTTTGTTGTAAATTTTCTTCTATGTAAACCAATCCACAGATAAGTAAGACGATTATCACAATTCATTTTAACATCGATGCTTATATATGTTTATTTTTATTAAACTGTAGTCACAAACGAACTTAAAATTCAACTGATTAGGTAATGATGTAATGTAATGGCGGCTGTACACTCTCAACGAGGGCCCACGAGGCAAGGCAAGGACGAAAGTGTACAGGATACTTTCGCTGAGCCTTGCCTGCCCTCGCCCCGCCTCGCGTGCTCTCGCGTTCGTGTCGGTTTTTGGTGCGCGAGCCAAAGGGCGTCGCATTCCCTCCGACACGAGTGCGTCACTGTACACACTCGCGCTTCGTTTAGTCTACCGCAAGACGTTTTAGCATGCAGTATGTTTGGTTATCCTACTACCACAAATTTATCATGTGGAACCAAGAGAGCAAACTCAATTTTCTTGAAT